AATATTTTGTACACGTTATTTAAGAACAGAAAATCGGAACCGGTTACTTAATAACTGATATATCTTAACCGATAAGTTCTAAGGAGTAGTCAGGGAATTTGAGCCAATGAGAAGGAAGAGGCGTAAACGTCATGATTCGAGAAAAACTGGTTCCCTCCACCAGAAACGTTATCTTCCTTCCTCGGCGACTCTTCACCAACTTGCCGTAGTTATGATAATATCCCCAGTGCAGCAAATTTAAAATACCAGTTTCTTTTAATTGATTATTTATTTATTATATTTTAATTTCCTATTATATTTTAATTTCCTTTTTCTAGAATGTTATCTAAATTGTTTGAGAGTAGATGTGAAATTTACATTTTTGTAAAATCCTCGGATTGTTTTTTTCTTCTTCTTTTTTTCTCTCATGTTAGTAACTTCGCTTATTTTTTGTACTTAATTTTAAATATTTTTTGTTTTCTTACCTAGAGGATGAAAATGTTGAACATCCTTGAAGTATTTTTGGATGCTGAAGACTACAAATATGAAAGAATTAATGTTGGTATCACTGGTAGTCAAAAACAAGAAGCTATCAGTTAGTTATTAATTAAAGTACCCTTCTATTTTCCGAATTTTCTGTCGTTGCATGTGATTAAATTAAATCATTGCTTCTTCATAATCATGTTTTTTGTGAAAGAAAAAAAAATCCTGTTAACTGTCAATTTTTCAAAGGTATAAAAGTCAATAAAAAAACTAAAATTATATTATTTTTCTTTATTTTCCTTTTGAAAAGAAAGCTAGTTTTTTAAAGTGGCCATTAAAAATTTCTCCCATTTTCACCAGATATTAACGTAATTTTGTTAACTGAAATGCATAAATAAATTCAAAATAAATGTTCATTTAACCGTTTTATTCTTTTCTAGAGAAAGTCCATAAAATTTTAATAAAAACTTGTGAAAAATACAAACAAACAGTTATATACATCTTAAAATTTTTCTAATTTTATTTTCCATAAGATTTTAGTGTATAAATAATAGTTAGTGTACCTTTGCGAGTGTATAAATAATTATTTTAAGTAAAATCACATTTATTTGATAGGAACCTGAAACAAAAGTTGAATCTGTTGCTTTGGTTACTCATCATTATGAGCAACAAGAAGATATGGCAAGGGCTTTGGAACGAAGGATCATAAGCAAATCTACCTGTGTGCATACAAGATGATTCAACCAAGCAAGCTACCATGTCTGACTACAATTCTGTCTTCACTGTTTCATCTGGTATAAGTAAAATTTTTGCTGATAATAAGTGTAATATTTTTAACTTATTATATTGATCTATATATAATTAAAACATTTTAATTTTAGTGGGAAACATTTATAAATAAGAATTTTTCAAAGTACTTTTTTTCAAGAAATAAAATTATTTTTTCTTCATTAAGAGGGATATATATTGTCCTAAATTCTTATGAATCAAGAGATTGTGCAAAGTTATTTTAATTGACAATCAAATTTTTTTTATTTATGTTTCTTAATAATCCAAGAAAATCAGTTATCAGTTTTATTGCTAATTCAATGGGATATATATTTCTTTAAAATTTTACAAAATTATATAAATTTAAGATACAATTTAGTTTTTCTTACATTGCAAATAGTTAATTCATTATTAACTTTTCAGAAAAATTCAATTAACTGTACATATAATCTTAAATTCACATTTCTGATTATAATTCCAGATATTTGTGAATTCGAAAGTAACACCTAAAAGAGGAGAGATTTGCTTGAAATATATTTTTTAAATGCAAAAGTTTATTTAGGTATCAAGTAATTTTTTTAAAGAATTGATCATACAAATCTGTTTCGGAATATAAATAATACACAATTCTTTATTTAATCCGTATTCAGTTGAGAATTGTTGATACCTTTCTGAATAATAAATGTCCAATGTGTTAAATTAGCTGTAAAATTTTTTTAATTTCTACATCTCTAATACATTAATAGAAAAATAACTTAATATAGGTATGATTTTCAAAGGGGCGTAAATTGTATACTAGCATTAATGTTTTAATATTTCTGTATACTAAGTTTAAACAAGATCATGAAGTTTGTACTACAATGGAACAAAACTGCTCTTGGGGGGGGGAACTTTTTTTCTCATTTAAAATTGTATATTTAAATTAACGAGTAACTCTAAGCAAGGGCTTATATGTTTTACTATGTAAATAACATTAATAATTTTTTATATATTTTGCATGATGTATCAAAACTTTACTAGTAGTCTAAAAAATGTCACTAGTAAATTCTCCGTTATTTAGTTTCTCCAATGTTGACAGGTATGTGAATGCATTTATTTGTTGGTCTTCTTTATATTGATTAATTAATAATATAAGTCATAATCTAGACAACTTCTGTTATTTAGCCTCTTTGCACTTTTGAGCTGGTCAATAATTAAAATTTTTGCTACACAAAACACATTATAAAGTACAAATAATATTATAATGTGTTATGTATGAGTCAAATATCTTAAATCTCATCACCATCAAAACAGAAAGGGGAAAAAAGACAAGACAGTTTTCTGAAATGCATAGCTCTAATGTTTTTATTGTGAATAAATGTTTTTATAGTGCTAATATGCCAGAATTGAGGGTTACTCAATAATATGTTATCTCAGTAATAACAGCCTCTCTTTTGTATTTTACTTTTAATTAAGAATTACAATTAGGAACAGAACAGTTAAGAACAAGACGATTAGATATAGAAATTTAATAGAAGTTAAGTGTAAAACTGCAAATTCGCTGGAAACATCATGTTTATTTTGCTGCTAACGACCATTGGTAGTTTTAACAGCAATAAGTTTATGTATATATTTCTTACTGTGTTTATTTATTAATTCAAAATATTTTTAGGGATGTATAATGTAATGAAAAATTAAGTTTTCCTTTATTTAAATACTATTATTTATTTAAATAATATGCTTTATTAAATTTTAGCATAGCCTTTTTAAAAAATACTTGAAGGTGCTTATTTTTGATTTATGTTTTTTAAAAGCTCTTAAAGGTGCTTTTTCTATTCGGGATTTGAAAAAAGTTTTTAATTCTATCTTTTAAAAAGAGATTTTTTCTTTGCTGTGTCAATTGGGGTTTTAAATTACAAAAAAAGCAATATCTTCACAATTTTCTCTGCCATATTTATCAGAAACTAGTAATTTTTTCATGTTTATGTGAAGTTTTTAAAATGATATTGAATTTTATTGATTTTATGTTTATAAATTAAGAACTTTAAGCAATAGAAATTTTTTTTTTTTATTATTGCACAGATCCTCCTTTATTATTTTTTTTATAGTGATTAAAAATATTTTTGAGTGCTTGAAAAGTACTGAAAAAGTGCTTATTTTTTGTTGAAAAATCTGGCTATGCACTCTAAAATAGAATATTGTTTATGCAGGTTGATGAAGACCTTGAAATCAAAGCTTTTTATGCTGGGCATGTGTTGGGTGCAGCAATGTTTTTGATAAAAGTAGGATCACAATAAGTAGTCTACACAGTAAGTATTTTTTTTCTCAATTATAAAATTCTCAATTATACAATTTCTGAATCGCTACAAAAAGCCGTTTTTTTATTGTTAAACCCAACAAAAAAAAAAAAATATTTGGAAATAATCTTAAAAAGAAGAAAAAACGATGAAGTAATACACTAATAATTATTTCCAAAATGATGGTAAGGTAAACATCTTTAAAAAAAGAAAGAAAAATCCTAAAATCTTATGAGGAAAAAAATTTTTTTTTTTTAGAAATGGTGGGAAAGTTTATCGAATTTCATTCCGGTTTTTTGGTTTTCCGGTTTTCTGATTTCCGGATAACGGGTTCTGTACTGTACATGTTAATTTTTTCATGTTTTTTCAACTTTAACATGTCAAATTAACTTCAATCTTGAACTAAGACCTTTATTATTAGAGCTAAAGCTATTTATCTTAAACCTCTATATCTCAAAATTTTTAATGTTTTCTTTCAAAACCTCTGTTTCTCGGATTTCTAATAATCAAGCACAAATGCTCAA